CCCACCCCTGTATTTTTTTTTGGGGGTGCCAGGCGCGCCGGCCGGTGTTTGCCGTCGCGATTTGTGTTTTCTACATGTGCTGGTGGTGGTTGCGCTTTTGTTTGCGGCACCGCGTGTTGCGCTCTGGCTGTGGGCCCCTGCCTCCCGTGGGTTGGGCTGGGGTGGCCGCCGTGGGCGGGGTTTTACACCAATATGCCTTTGGTAATGAGGGTTGCCTCCATATGGTGCCAAGGTGAAGTAGATGAATTTATTCAAAGAAACCAAGTGCACTCACTAAATGTTTGAAGGGGGTGGTCTCCTTAAAAACCAAATTCCTATTATTTTTTCTTTTTAATACATGCGTTCTTAGGAATGGCATTCCCTTGGTGACGTTTGGCCATCAAAAATTGGAGCCAACGCCCATTATCCCTTATTATTTTGAGGGAAGTCATGGGCCATCAAATTCTCTTTCTTGAGAGTTTACTGGTTCACAAGCTACAAACGTCATACAGCACCGGGAACAGCAGAATCATGCTGGGACAAAACTTTATCCAAGAAGATCCTGGGGCACGTATCAGCGTACCATCAGCAGCAGTTTCTTTTATATATTTCACTTTAGTGTGAATGCCGCTAGGGAGAAGCACGGACCCTAGAGATAGTAACAATTATCTCCTCTAGTGGTGGTAATTGGATTTGACCGCTGAGGGGACTCAGAGAGGCGAAAAAAAAAATCCATGTTCTGCCACCTACGAGATCCATTATAATTTCATTACCAATTCGTACTCCCCATGCCCAACGGTAGTAAAAAATAATATAAAAACAAATTGTATTTATGTATATTTATGTATTACTCTTGATGGCCTGTTCCATTGGAGTAATATCCATAAAGCCACGAATAACAGAAAAAATAAAAAAAAACGTGGTGGTGTGGTATGTGAGGTACTTTTTGGGTGGGGGTGGAAGGGGATATTTGTGATTGTACCCTCCTCATGTACATCAGGGGAGTGGGTGCAATTTTTTTTTTTTTTATTGGGTGATAATGTTGTGGGAGAAGAGGAGGCGAACCGGCATTCTGAGGGAAAAATAAAATAATAGTAATAAGGATAAATAAAGAGGTAATATGTGTGTGTGAGAGAGTAATTGTATGTTGCCTCTGTTTGTGAAGAGTGGCATGGTATTACAGTGATGTATACAGTCATTTTTTGTTATGGTTGTGGGTGAGTGAGTGGGTTTTGGATTCCAATTGTGGTGTTGGTATAAATATTATGGTGATGCATTGGTTTCTTTTTCTGTTTGGAGGTGTGTGTTGATTATTGTACAGTCTCTTTGTTTTGCTGATGATTTGTGGTATTGTTTTTGTATGTTGCCGGGCGTACACACTGTGTTTTTGGTGTTCAAATTGCCTGGTAATGGTTTTATTATAATGAGAATACAGAGACACTTTGTGTATGAATACCGAGTAAGATATTGGGGTGTGTGTGTAAAGACTTTTATTTAATATTGTTTTGGTACCATTTGTTTTCCACTTCTTCTAAATTCAAGGTGTTGTTTCAATATCTGTGTAACTCTGGGTGTGTTTTATTGTGTGAGTGGTTTATTGTTTTGTTCCTTCATTGGGTTGTGTTTGATTGCTGTTGTGATGTGTATTCTCTCTCTTGTTTTTATTGTTTTTTCTAGATCAGTGTTTTTACGTTAAACAAACTATTTTTTCTCTCACGATGATGAAGATGAACCGTGTGATCTGTGTGTTGGCCGTTGTGCTGTGCCTCGCCTGCGGGTATACCATGACGGTTGCTGCTACTACTGCTACTGCACAACCAAAGGCGGTGATGGCGACCTTTGATGATGTCCTTCCGGATGAAGGAGTGACAATAGACATTACGCCTGATAAGGTGAGGGAATGGATGGATAGGAAAAACAATAAAGATAACACGGCAACCAGTGAAAAAGAACCTGCCCAGCAATCTCCTCCAGAGGGAAGTGCAACTGCCCCATCAGCCCCACAAGAGAATGGCAATGATGATTCTACGGCAACCAACACTCCATCTCCTTCAACCGATGCACCGAGCAGCACTACTGCCAATGCTGACAGCAGTTTCAGTTCTGTGTGGATGCGCACTACAGCACCTCTGCTGATTGTGGCTGCGTTGGTTTTGTAAAACGGTGTACTGAGGGGATTCGTTTGATTGACGGAAGCACTTACAAAGACTCTAATAATAATTCCGCCAATATATATGTGCTACTCCCGTGGTCAAGTAAGGTAATTTACTACACATTTGGGGGTTTATTTTAATTGCATTGAACTTCCTTTTTTTTATTTTGCACTTTTTTTTTCTCCCCTTCTCTCATTTGATTTCTCGTTTTTGGTCGTGTGCGCAGGCCCTGTGCTTATCTGTTCACTGACCACGTATACATATCACAAATATGTTTATACCTGTGATTGCTGAACCCACACTGTTGTACAACAATATGCAATTGGGGTATTGGGATTTGTGTACTTTTTTTTTTCTGTATATACTGTTTTTGGGGGGTCTGCATCATCTTGCAAAGGGGATATTCCTTTTCTACTACTTTACTCTGCTGTTGCAGCTGCTTCTTTTTCTCTCTCTCACTGTGAGTATTTGTGTCCTGTATCCACTCTCTTTCTCTCTCCTTTTTTCCCTCTTTTCCACACTCTCTGCATAGATCTGTGAACTCAAGTGACAAGGAAGAGAACAAAAACAACAGGAAAAGGAAGATCAATAATAATGATGATGAACCGTGTGATGTGTTTGTTGGCCGTTGTGCTGTGCTGCGCCTGCGGGTCTACTCTGACTATTGGAGTGGCAGCCGATAGTTATGATGAATGGAAGGATTTTCTTAAAACAACATCCTATGAAGACAAGTGTAAAGGTAAAGATAATGGTTCTTTTAATGAAATAAGTTGTGAGAATTGGAATAAAAATAAGAATATTGATCATATAAATTACAGCCTTCCTAATTCGACAAATCCTGAAATGGCGGATGTTCCTGAATCTCATCAACCTGTCAAAGAATTGCGTGAAGAACATGATGAAACAAGTGCCGAAGAAGGTTCTCTGCATCAGAGCACCTCACAAACCACGTCTACAGGCACCGTTTCAAGACATCAAGCGACTGAGAGTGGACCAGCAGTGACACACCCCATTGAGTCTGCGAGTGGTGAAGCACAACCTGGTAGGAATGCAGAACGTGCGCCATTAGCATCAAGTACATCTGCACAACCTCCTTCTTCCCCTACTGTTCCTGAAGAAAGCAGCACAATTTCATCATCATCCCCTAAAGAGAATACAGGTAGCAGTACTTCTGGCACAGACGCAGCTGATAACAGTGCACACGGTGATGGTAATCTTACCACGCAATCTCCTGCAAATGTTGATGTGACTACCGCATCAGACGCAGAAGAAACCAATCCCACTACTCCGCCGATCATCGAGAACACTACCACAGAAGCACCAACGACCACAACATCATCTCCTGTACCCAACGCAGAGATCAGCAGCATTGCTTCCGCAGTGCAGAGCAAGGCTAATGTTGACAGCAGTATCAGTCCTGTGTGGATGCGCACTGCAGCACCGCTACTGATTGTGGCTGTGTTGTTCTCCGCTACTGTGTACTAAACGGTGGGACTCATCTGAGAACAAATAATAATAATGGTAATACTAATATAATCATAATTGCGTACATCCCCATGGGTGAATAAATTAATAATCTGTTTACCATCTTTCTCTTTTAATTGAAATTTCTTTTCTTTTCTTTTCTTTTGTGTGTGTGTGTGTTCTTTTTGTAATAATTCCATTACTTGTTTTTACTGTTGTGTGTTTGGAAAAAACTGGGCTGTTCTGCTCACTAACGGTATACATCTCTTGCTAGTACACACAGAAGTGTGTGTGTGGAGTAATTTAATATACATAAACTAGAGCCATGGGGTATTGTGTGTTTTATTGGACACTTTCTGTGTGGGTGTCTGGGCTTACACTGTCATGATGAACTGATTTTTGTTGTGAAATGAAAGAAATAATAATAAGAGATGAATTTATATTGATAATTGCGTCTGCCTTGAAACTCTGATGGTCGTTCTCTTTAATTTCTTTTTTTCTTTTGAGAGGCTCATTGGGATTTCGTGCTTATTGATGGGTACTGTTTGTTTTGTTTCTTTAATCAAACTCGATATGAGTGAAGGTTGAATGTTTGTGTCATGTGTTGTGTTTCTGTCTTTTTTTTTTTCTTTGATGTTTGATTTGTTTTATTCTCATCTTCTTTCTGTACTCTTTCTTCTTTCTTGTACATTCCATTGAAGTAAGACAGGTTCAACAATACCCACAACAATACCTTCAACCATTGGAAATCGT